TTTAATTATGCAAATAAAATAAAAATAATACAATAATTTGCAAATAAAGCTTTTATTTTGTATTAACACATATATTTAATGCAAATTAAAAGCAATTTTAATTATTCTTTTTGTAAAGTTAACATTTAATTTAATAAAAATTTCATGCAGAACATAATAATCAAATAAAATAAAGTTATAATGGTAAATAAAATTTATGTATTGAGGGGCTGATAGTAAAAATGGTTTAAAATAATAACGGGAGCAAAAGTAGAATAAGTGACTTAGAAGGAAAAACAGATTAAAATGATTGTGTAATTTCTTGATAAATTAATTATAATAATTACAAAATATTAATTCAAATAAAATAAGTTTTTTTATTATTGACAATATTTTTTAAGCATTAATATAATTAATTTATCAAGAAATTACATAATCATTTTCACCCGTTTTTGCTCTCAAGTCACTTATTCTACTTTTGCTTCCATTATTATTATTATAAACCATTTTTACTATAAGCCCCTCTATTGTTCGTCATTTTTCGTTCGGTATTTTCAAAATTAAAAAATATAATATAATTATAAATAAAATAAAATATAAAATAATAATAAAAATATAACAGAAATAAAGGATTGTGTTAGAAAATAATGTAGATAGTGACGCTTTAAACAGGAAAGTGGACCGACAAAGCAATTTTAAACGTACTATCTACCACATAGTGCACTTTTCATGTATTCTCCATAATTTTTGGATAAAAAATGTGCACTATCTACAGTTTTATTAATAAATAATTAATATTAATATTTTTTTTTGCACCAATGAAAAGAGCGTGTACGAATTAGTCAAGAACATAAGTTTGTTTACAAAATTTTTAATTTTATTAAGAGATCCAGATGCAAACGCGTTTCCTTCAATATCTCCGATTGAGCTAAAATGTACATAGTGTCTTTTTTAAAAAGGACGGCAGAATAAGTTTAAAACCAATTCTATCAAGTTTAAAACCGTTTCAAACAAGTTCTAAACAATAATAAATATATAGACAAAGATAGTCCCTCTAATTATGCGCTTAAATTAGGCACAATCAGGCGACTAAAATAGCTAAATTATACACTAATTATGCGCTAAAATGAGAATGATTATGCAGAATTATGTTATTAAAAAAATTCTACTTTAATTTATTATAAGCTAAAAAATTCTCATTTTGCAAAATTATGTTGTGTTTTAAAAAATGTTGATTTGTAATAAATATTTTTTAATCGTAATTTTTCAGAAACGCAAAAGTGTCTACAAAATTCTCAAAATAAATTGACATGTTGATACTAATAAATAATTTAATAAAAATAAAAAAAGAGGGAAAAAGATTATATATGTAATAACTTACAGAGAAATGAAATAAATAGAGGTGTGCAAAAAGCTCGAATAGCCGAGCCGAGCCGGGCCGCAATTTTTTCGAGCCGAGCCCGAGCCGGGCTCGATGTATCGGGTACCCGAAATTTTCGAGTACCCGAAACATTCGGGTACCCGAATTCACTCGAGTACTCGAATATTTCGGGTACTCGAATGAATTCGGGTACCCGAAATTTTCGAGTACTCGATTTAATTCGAGCTTTTAAATTAAAAAAATTTTTTTTTTTACAAAAAAAAATTTAATTAAAAATTAATGTAGAAAATTTTGGATTTTCTCAAGGGCTCGAATCAAATCGAGTACTCGAAAATTTCGAGTACCCGAAAGTTTCGGGTACCCGAAAAATTCGAGTACCCGAAATTATTCGAGCTTTTTATAAAGCTCGGCTCGGCCCGAGCTCGGCTCGAGCTCGAACTGAATAGGCTCGGCTCGGCTCGGCTCGAAAAATGAAAAGCTCGAAAATACCCGCTCGAGCTTCGGGTTTCGAGCTTTTTGCACACCTCTAGAAATAAATTAGTAGGAATTGATTTTCTTAATGAACACATAAAACAAAAATGAAAATGTTTCTATTAATATATTTTACTAAGAAACTTATTAATATAAAATATTTTTGTAATGTTGAATAATAATAACAATAGAAGCTAAAATTAGTTTCTAAAACTTAACATTTATTACTGCTATCTTACAGTTATAATTTTTTAAAATTTGATAAATCTCAAATTTTCAAAAAAAACATTCAATAAGTTAGTTAACAGTTAAAAACTTTCATTTGTAGAGTCAAATTTTTGTACTGATTCCCTCACCCTCTCTGAAATATATATATTTCTATATAGATGCTATGATGTGCATATTATAATGCACATCATATAAAAAATATTATAAAAAATAAAGAAACTAAACAAATTTTTTCATGGTTTAGTTAAAAAAGCACTATTTTGGAAATTTTGAGCCAATTATATGTGATCATTATGCAAAAAGAGTAAAATTATGCGATGAGTAAAAAATTATGCAACATTATGCGCTCTAAAATTATGTTGTAAAAGATTTAAAACACGAATTAACATAATATTAGTATGTTTTTACTTGATTTTAAAAAATTATACATTTATGCAAACGCATAATCTGTACTTTTCTCTAATAATAACTTTTTTCAAAACCATGGTTTTGAATTCAACTGCAGTTGAAAAAAAGTTTTAAGATATTTAAAACAGTTTGAAACCACTTCTTACTAGTTTAAAACATGTTGGAACAAGTTTTATATATAGTTTAAAGTAATTGAAATTAGATTTTTAATACTTTCAATCAATTTAAATCACTTTCAAAAAGTTTGAAATGTTTCAAAAACCCTATTCATGTAAGTTTCAAACTGATTGGAACAAGTTTAAAACCATTTCAAATAGTTTAAAAGTATTTAAAACAAAATTGCTTGTTTCTACCAATTTCTAACGAATTTCAAACTATTTGGAACAAGTTGAGAACTATTTATAGTCATTAAAAGTAATTGAAACCAGCCTTTAAATAGTTCCAAACAGTTTAAAGTCAAAAAAATATTTTTACTTGTTGAAATAAGTTTGAACTTATTTCAAACATTTTGAAAGTAATTTAGAATGGATTTTAATTAATTTTAAATAATTTAAACAAACTTTAAACAAGGTTTAAACTTTTGAAACAAGTTTAAAAACCTTTCAAACAGCTTAGAAATGACTTCAAAGACATAGCTTATTTTACGTAAAATTTAATCAGCTTTCTAACCGTATTTAAGATTTTTTTATATCTCCTTTTATTTACGAGATATGATTGAAAAAGTGATGGCATGTTTTTTGATAGAGTCGCGTGTAATCGTCCTGATACTCGTGAACGGTAGTGTATTTGAAACAAGTTATAAACTATTTGAAATAGATTCAAAACTACATTGAACTTGTTCCATTTTACGTAAAATATAGATTCGAAAATATTTAAAACAGTTTGAAATTATTCAATATAATTTCTGAACTACTGTGAATGATTTTAAATGATATTTACCCACTTTTCAAATTGGTATAACATTAATCAATTTGAAACTAATTCAAACTTGTTGTAACTTATAAGAAGTAGTTTTAAACTGTTCAGAATTATTTTTACTCCAGTTTTAATACTTATTAAACGATTTGAAATGGTTTTAAACTTATTTAAAATCTTTATAACTCGTTAGAGGTAGTTTTAAACTGTCTAGAAATTTAAAACTCCAGTTTTCTCGAGGGGGTATTTACTTGTGTATTGACGTGTACGCTCCTCACGTAATAGTCATGTAATAGTCACGTAATAGAGTGTAATAGAGCATTATTACGTCAGTGTAATACCACATAATATAGAGGTAATATTCTGTAATAATCAATAATACCCTGTAATAGTTCCGTAATACCCTGTAATACTGGATAATACGCATAATAGCAAGAAAATTTAGTGTATTAGAGTTGTACACCATTTTAATCAGTAATTACCCCCTCAAGTTTTCTCTACTTTTAAACTGTTTTAAATGGTTTTAAACTAGTTCAAATTTATTATAACTTATAAGAAGTAGTTTTAATTGATTTGAAACTTGTTCAAAATCGTTACAACTTGTAAAAAGTAGTTTAAATAAACTATTTAGAACTATATTTATACTCCAGTTGTATCTATATTTTTAAACTGTTTCAAATAGTTCTATAAACTTATTCAAACGTTTTTTAACTTATAAAAAATAGTTTAAAACTTTGTAAAATTATTTTACATTAGTTGTTATTACCTTTAAATGGTTTGAAATGATTTCAAACTTGTTCAAACTTATTATAACTTATAAGAAATAATTTTAAACTTTTCAGAACTATTTTTACTCCAGTTTTAATACTTTTAACCTATTCAAAACTTGTTTAAAATGGTTATAACTTGTAAGACTCAGTTTTAAACTTTTTAGAACTATTTATACTGCATAGTTTTATGTACTTTTAAACTGTTTCAAATGGTTTTACACTTGTTCAGAATAGTTATAACTATAATAAGAAGCAGTTTTAAAGTATTGAAAACTATTTATACTCTAATTGTACCTATTTTTAAACTATTTTAAATGGTTTTAAACTTGTTTAAAATTGTTATAAGTTATAAGAAGTAGTTTAAAACTTTGTAAAACTATTTTACATTAGTTGTTATTACCTTTAAACGGTTTAAAATGCTTTTAAACTTTTAAACTTGTTCGAAGTAGTTTTCATTATATGCTATTGTCTTATTTCAATGATATTTTATTATATTTCGATACTATTTGCAACAAGTTCGAAAATACTTGAAACATGTTCAAAATATTTGAAACTATTTTAAACAAGTTTAAAACTTGTTAGAAAAGGTTCAAATACATTTTAAACAATTGAAAGTAGTTTCGACGTTAAATATTGAGTTATTTCAACATTTAAAAGTAATGACAAAGTACAATTTTGTCATATTCAGTGATTGAAGGTAAAAATTAAAAATCATTAATTACTTTATCCTGATTACAAGAATAGTAAAGTAAAACAAGGCTGGTAAATTACTTATTCTTTTTCTTTCGCTTATACAAATAAAATAATAAAGATTTAAGTAAATAAATAAATAAACATTAAGTACTCACGGATGATGTGGTGGTGCATGAAAGACAGCGGCAGCTGCCGCCGCTGCGGCCGCGTGATGTTCCCATGCTACCGCAGCCGCTGCCGCCGCTGCTGCAGCGGCGGAACCATGTCCATGATGCGGATGAAATGGCGACGGCGCTGGGGGATGTGGATGCGGATGAAATGCCGCATGAAAAGCCGAATGCGGGTGATGGGGTGGTGGTGGCAATAGAGAAAACGCCTCCTGATGATAAGCCACTTCCTTTTCAGGCATTTCTGTAACCGTCGCTCTTCACTCCTTCTATCAGATTCTCCTTTTCTTTGAAATAACACTTCCAATCAAGATAACACTTTCTTCCCAATCCACTCTGGAATCTTCCCGCGGATTTCTCTGCCCAACACACACATAGTCCATCCGTTCTTCAATTAATGTCTTCATCCACCTTTTAATCCTTTTTGTGCGTTAATAATCCCTTTTCAATGGAACACTTTCTTCTTCTTCAGTTCCATCTCCAAGAAGATGGAATTTTTCATTTTTTTGTTACTCTCCAGTCGATAATATTCTTTGAAGATGTAATAATTTTTCAGAACAATTTGTATAAGTGGGGATAATTTGACGTAATATCTTTTTCTTTAGGGGAGTTTAAAATTAGCCAGGAGGGAATCAATCAAGATGACAATTCTTCTGAAGATAAGGGTATTATTAAGGATTGTTTGGTGCAAAATCTCTTTTGAAGAGATACCTTTTTTTACAGCATTTATTTATTTTCTTATTAATCTTTCTTAACTAGCTCATAAAAAAGATTCTCAAAAGTTTTGTGTTAGGAAAGAATTCCTAAAATTGAGGATAATTGAGGAAATTTTTATTCAGTTTAAGCTTCAGGAATATTGGAGACAAATCCTGGATTTTGGGTTCAGTTCGACAACAAGGTCACAAAACCAAAAACACAGATCACTCACAAAATCCGCAAAAATTCGGTAAACGAAATCCTTGTTAAAATCCTGGTGCACTGACCTCGAGGTACAAAACAAAAACAATCACTTCAAAATCAACAAAAGTTTTGTTGATTTTTTCTTTTTGTGAAAAAAAAATTTTTTTCGCACACAAACCACCAGAGAAATTAATGACTCGCGATCACACGTTGACACGAGTTAGGCACTATTAAAAGCAGCAACCGGTCACGGTGCTTATAGTTTGGCGGATATGGCGGTACTGAGTCTGACTGAGTCCTTCTCTGGAAGAGGGGTAGTCATGCCGAAGCAGTCGTGCATTCTCAGTGGGCGTGCGACGGAGAGATTCAAGAGAAAACTCAAAAATAAGAGCGAGAGAGAAAAGTGAGTAAAGGACGGTATTCAAGATGAACTCTGGATGGAGTTTTTAAACTGAGGCAGTGAGTGGAAGAAGGAGAAACTGATTGAAAGAGAAATAAAGAAAGAGAGTGAGAGAGAGTGAGTTAGTGAAGGCAGAGCTAGGGTGAGAGGGAGGTAAAGTAAGGGTCCATTCCGGAAGTGAAAGAGAGATGGAATGATGATGATGTGGAGGGGTGCTCCCCGTTTATGGGAAGAGAGAAAGAGAGATGCGGTAGTGTACTGAAGAAAGATGGCTCGTACCATGGAAGAGAGAGGGAGAGGGAACGCGTGTCAGTTCGACAACTCAACTAGCACCAGCCGTGCCTGACTCCCACTACCACGACACCGAACCTCCTTCTTCTTCTTCTCCTCTGCATCCCTTCCACAGGATCAGACTCGTATGTGTGACTTTCCTTTACCACGGCCCTTAAGAAGGGCCCTCTTCTCAAATGGTTGAACATCGTATCTCAACTTAAAATCCGTTTGTTAAAATTATTATCATTTACGGTACAAACAGTATTTTACTATCGAACTATTGACAGCAAATATTGAATATGCAACTACAAATTAACAGATAAAACATCTTCAAACAACGTATAACTGATTTAAAACTACTTTAAATATGTTCAAAACAGCTTGGAATATTTTATAACTACTTGCAGAAGTTTGTACAAAAGCAAATTTTATGATCCTGGAAATTTAAACACGTTTAAAATCACTTCAAACAAGTTTAAAACCAGTTCAGATAAGTTTAAATCCAATTTGGAAGTTTAAAAGTGTTTACAAACAATGCAGACAAATTGCCAACAAATTACCAGTACGCAGAAGTTCAAAACTCGTTAAACATGTTTAGAATTTCTTTATTAAACAAGTTTAGATATAGATAGGTTAAAATTGTATTCAAACAATTTAAAACCAGTTACAATCAAGTTAAACACATAGGTAGCAAAACTAAGAAAAAAATTTCGATCAACTTGAAACAATTTGAGAACTGGTATAAATAAGTTCTAATTCAAATTAAAAAGTTTAAAACTAAACAACTTCAAATAAGTTTAGAATCCCTCTAAACATGTTTAGAACTAGTTCAGATCGGTTAAAATCTAATCCAAACAATATAAACCTAATGACAAACATTTCTGTCAAATAAAGACTAAAAATAAGTTACAAGTATAAAGAAATTTAAATATCTTTAAACATATTTAGAACCACTTTAAGATTGTTTAAAACTTCTTCGAACAAGTTCCGAAGTAAAAATAAAATAAAAGATAAATTCGAGTTCAATTCATGCAGTTTAAAGCTAGTAGAAATAGTTTAAAACCAATTCGAGAACCTATTCAAATATTTAAAAAATAGTTTTAAGAAAATTTCAAATAGTTTTAATTAGTTAAAAATCGCTTTTAACAAGTTTAAAACCAGTGCAGATAAGTTCAAATCAAATTGAGAAGTTTAAAAGTGTTTACTTACGAAGTTTAGACCTCGTTAAACAAGTTTAGAATTGCTATAAACAAGTTGAGAACTAGTTTAGATAGATTTAAATTGCATTCAAACAGTTTAAAGCCTGTCAAACAAGTCGGATATATATAGCATTCAAGCAATCAAAAGTTTAAACTTCTTCAAACCTGTTTGAAACCACTTTAACTCTCTGCTGATGCTAACGACCGTTATCGCCATTCTGGACGCCTGGTGGGGACTATGGGAGTTACGTGCTTTGGCGATAGAGTGGGGATAAGTTAGCATCAGCAAAGGGTTAAATAAGTTAAAACTAGTATTTTAGCAATTTACAAGCGCACTCAAAAGTTAAAACCTTTTCAAAACTGTTTAAAACCACTTTAACCCTAGAAGGAGTAACTGGGGTGTCTGAACACCCCAAGCAAAATTCAAAGTATTCCCATGGCTTAACCAATAATTTTTTTACGCTCAAAACCCGTTGATAATTTAGTTTGACCCTCTATATTTTGACACCTGTATGTGCCGCCAAAAGTTTTGCTCTAGGAAGAGCTCTATCTCCTGTTAAAATACGTCTGGGGTGTCTGGACACCCTAGTTACTCCCTAACGTAAGAAAAATTGTCAAGATAAGTAAATTCAAATTTTTTTAAAAAATCGTTTTTAATCAGTTAAAATCATCTGATAAAGTATAAATTGATAGGTTATGCATGAAAAAGTTGTATTTTATAAAAAAGAAACATTTTTATACAAAAATTTTATTTTTATGAAAAATAGACATTCTGTATTTGTAACAACTTATGAAATTTGAGTTTAGATTTATTAAAAATTTCTGTGCTCTCTCTACAGTCAGACATTAAATTCTAATACAGAAAAATGTAGTATATGACAGTCAAATTTAAATTATAAATTCTATATTGTTAATAATATTTTAACATATATTAGAGGTATTAAGAATTATTAATTAAAACTTTGATTAAATATTAATTTACGGAATCATTTCATAAGTTATTAATTTTATATTCAGATATATTAAGTTTGTAAAATTTTTAATTTATAACACCATTTTTAGTAAATATTAATTGTTTAAGTCCATTTTATAGTTCATTTTTATGATTTTCACTATTCGTCAATTGTCTTTAATTTCTTTCACTTCAGATGTTCAAATAATTATGTTTTTTGGAAGTAATACAAAAACTAATTTTTTCCCCTAAAAGTGTATCTATTCCCGAGATGACATTTTCAACTTACATTGGCCCATAAAAACCTAGTTTAAAACTGATTCAAACCTTTTAACTATTGTTTGACCTTTATGGCATTACTTTAACCTTTAATCAACCTTCGATTGTACATTTTCAACCCTAAAAGGAACCTTATGAACCTCAAAAGAATTTCTTAATTTTATGATTCTGAAATAGTCAACCTTACTAACCTTCCTTTAACCCTAACATACACTACTTTCTTCCTCACCAACTTCGTTTGAACCTAAAAAATTGATTTTCGAATCTCCTTTGTCCCAAAAATATCCTTTTTCGTTTCCAGAAACAGACCATAAAAATGTAGGCAATCATAAAAATGGGACAAAAAATTACTAGCAATCCTAAAGTAAGTGTTTAAAGATCTTTAGCTTAGTGGAGCTTAGTGGATATGAATAGAAGTATATATGAATAAATATACACAAAATATAGTTTTGGGATTTCCAAATTTCCCACCCAAAAATTTACTATAGTAAAAACAAAGTTTGCACTCATTTTTTGAAAGTGTCGAATAAAATTTGATTTGAACAAAATTTATGTAATAAAAATATAAAAAAAACAATTTTGTGCTTGTGTGGTGGGTGACAAGTAAGATAAAAACTATCAAGGAGTAGGTGGACCCTAATGAACAGAAATCAAAATGTTAATTAGCAACGATTGTAATGTTTGGAGATAAGTTATATTTATTTTGTGCGTAATAACATTAAATAACTTCAAATATCACGGGTATTAGGCGTCAAAACACAATATCCATTGTTAACCCTACATTAAAAAAATTATTTGAATCAAATGTTATAATATACTGAGGCAATAATGAAACGATATTATACCAAGCATTTTCGCATAGTATTAAATATTTTGTATTTAGAACAAATATTATAAATTATTTCAACGTTGTCTCCAGTTCATCACAATAAAAATTACCGCCCAACGGGAAGTTGCCAATGTTAACGATTGGTTCAATAATGGGCCATGCTTGGTACCCAATGGTTTTTTCTTGGCAAAACAATTGGCAACCATCATTGGACCACCAATGGTTTAAACTTGGGATGATCACGCTACTGCCAATGATCGGTAGCCAAGCATCGGGCCAATATTAGTTGCCAAGGAATTGCCAAGGAAACAAAATCGATTTTCAAAAGCTTGATTTTTTATTGGCAGCCAACAAAAAACCAAGGTTTTGAAAATTGATTTTTTTAAATTATTAATTAAAATATATTTTTCAAAAATTTATTTAAAAAAAAAAATATTTTTCAAAAATATATATTTTTTTTTAAATTGATAGAACATATTAATTTAATTTTTCACCTCTGGTAAAACAAAGATGAAAGACTGATAAATTCCCTCACTTTATATCTTACAGTGGAGGGATAACTGTGAATGTCTTTGCGAGAGAGGAGCAGGTACTTATATAGAGCCAGTGAAACAGGTCACAAGCGAGAAGAAATCACTAGCATGCACTCTGGCGGCGCTTGTCGGAACTGTTTTCTGGCGCGCATGCATATCCTGACGTTATCGACACAGCGCTTGGCAACCAACGTTGCGCCACTTCCGACAAGCGCCGCCAGAGTGCATGCTAGTGATTTCTTCTCGCTTGTGACCTGTTTCACTGGCTCTATATAAGTACCTGCTCCTCTCTCGCAAAGACATTCACAGTTATCCCTCCACTGTAAGATATAAAGTGAGGGAATTTATCAGTCTTTCATCTTTGTTTTACCAGAGGTGACAAATTAAATTAATATGTTCTATCAATTTAAAAAAAAATATATATTTTTGAAAAATATTTTTTTTTTTAAAATAAATTTTTGAAAAATATATTTTAATTAATAATTTAAAAAAATCAATTTTCAAAACCTTGGTTTTTTGTTGGCTGCCAATAAAAAATCAAGCTTTTAAAAATCGATTTTGTTTCCTTGGCAATTCCTTGGCAACTAATATTGGCCCGATGCTTGGCTACCGATCATTGGCAGTAGCGTGATCATCCCAAGTTTAAACCATTGGTGGTCCAATGATGGTTGCCATTAATGTTCCAATAATGGAACGGAGTTCGCCAAGCATGGCCCATTATTGAACCAATCGTTTACTTCCCATTGGGCGTTGTATTGAATGACAATACTACCTGAATATTTTCGAGCATCGACACTACAATGTCGCCATGCTTTATTGCTTCAAGTCGAATATAACATTTGCAAAAATATTGGCAATATTTCTATGCAATATTAATCTATTTTATTT